GTTCAGGCTCTTAAAGGGTACAGTTTACTTTATTAAGACAACACAACTCTCTACAGCTAAAAAAAGAGCAGTAGTACAAATTCTATTCAAGCATTTAGTAACAATAAAAATACCTGTTATTGAGAAACAGTTAGAGGAGGTCAAACAGTTCTGTGGTGGATATTTGTGCTTGGTTGTGCTTTCGCCCAGATGCCACTTTTGAAGGGTTCACATTATCCTACAGATCACTCTGCCTGACCTTCAACACTGCTCGTCACTGGGCGAGGTGACACCAGATCCTCTGATTGGGTGAGATGGCTCAGAGCAAGCACGTGAGGCTCTGGCTGAGAGTAAATAAAGGTTACAGGAACTTATACAAACATGATTCTCTCAATTTACAAAATTCAAAAATATGTTATCATGATTATACAGGGTGGGCCACAGAAAAGTAGCCTGCCTCCAATACCGGTGCCATGGGCAATATGGGTACATGGGCTTCTTTTCTGTGGCCCACCCTTATGTTATTATTAATAAAGTCTTTTAGATTCATATCTTACCGTTGAAGGTCGCTTCATGCTGCCATCTGTAGGGAAGGACAGTTTATTATCTCCATACTGATTATCCATATTTATTATCTTCATATTATCTCCAACTTCCTAACTTTTCTGTGATTTGGATATAAGGAACAGAAATTTAGAAGAATCTAAACAGACAAATTTAAAAGGATGTATTTAAAAATGATAACTTATTAGCTGTAGAGTTCACATATTACCATAGTAAACTGCTATAAAATGACCCTGAGGTCTGTCACCTCACCTGTGCTGTTATCCCACACATGCTTCCTGATGATGCAGAACTTGACGAGAAGCAAAACAGCAGCTAAAAATAGACCGATCCCAGCTCCGATCAAAGCATACTTAATGTCTGGAAGAAAAACATCCAGCAGACATGAAATGGTTAATAATGTACAACATGCAGTGTAACACTGATGGTATATAATCAGTCTGGGCTAATAAAAAGCATGTGTGTGTGTGTGTACACCATATACAAAGTGTTGGGGATGGAGGAAAAAGGGAAGCAAAGATATTTCACAACTTGTTTACTCTGTGGAAGACACAGTCCTGGTCTCATGCTCCTTTCAACATATTAAATTGTGTCACCAGTGTTTGCAATTTGAACCCTGAACATTTAGGAATCATTGAGGGGTTAGTGCTGCACAATGTGAGCCAGCACTGTCATGTGTTTGACATCTTTAGCAAAACACACATATTATGATCACATTTGAGAGACTGTGCTTACAAAGCATGTCATTTCACTTTATAGCCATGAACTGACTGCAAATCATTCCAGTAGTTTGAAACCAGTCAGGATCTTAATGAAAATGTCAAGGCAGTGAGCATGGAAAGGCCACTTATAACATCAGGGCCAGGCACAATACTCAGCCTAAGTCTCCTCAGCCTTATTGATATAGCTTTTGTTAATAGTGCAGCCTACGGTCTATTGGTGGATTCCAGCAGCTTTGGCTTTTAATCTATTACAGTAAAGCAGTGTTTACTTACAACCCCTCATCACTCGGTGGGTTTCCATCAACCTGTTTTTATGCACATTTTCAATTTGTGCATAAAAATCATTTGGTGCTCTTTTGATGACATCATCTTATTGTGCCCTCTTTTGTGGCACAAGTCCTAATATTAACAGCTTTTCACTAAATTTGGTGAGCATTTGCTCCATGTTTGGACAGAAATCTAATGAGTGACTGTGACTTTCAATAATTTTTAGATTTGTAAAAAAAGTTAAATGATCCAATTATTTACCAAGAAACAGCAAAGATTATAGAAAATATGTTTTTTTGTCTTTTCCTTTCCTGCTAATCATCTCATGACTCCTAAAGTTCTCTTCAACACCTGTGGCGATCTTTTCCAAATGTTTGGGAACCACTGACCTTCTCAATGTCAATACTCCTTGAATTTGTCAAACACCACATTGATTAAGAGACCTCTAAACCCAGGGATATAAAATTGGACCTATGTGAATAGTTACCGACAGTAACACTAGGGTTGACCCTCTAAGGTGTTGCCCTTTGTATATTTAATAACAAACACAAAATAAGTAAGTATTGTTGTTGATTAAATGTTTTAACAAGAAGCCAGTAGTCTAACATACAGTTCATAATTTCACTGGCTCATTCAAAAGGACTTCTAATCTACCTTACAACCAGCACGATGTGTTCAGTGCCTACTCTGTTGACCCACCTAGTTTCTCTTCAGAATCTGCTCCATCTCCTCTCACACTCATCAGCAGAAACTCTGAAACACATTTTAGTATTTTAGGTCACAAATACAGGTTGCTCAGACAAACAGGAAGGCGGCAACACCACAGTATTGCTGCTAGCAACAGAAAAGAATGAGGTCAGCCTTCTGCACAGTTTCAAAAAACTGTTGCACAATACTTTGTGATCATGGAGGGCTTTCAGGCATCAGCAGTATTCTGCGATACTTTTTAAACATTGGTACTGAAAAAAAAGGTAAACATTAGGGTACTACTTACCTGGACATATTGTATATGTTAGCTTATAGTAAAAAAAGACTATAACTTTGTCTTTAGAATCATGGTTATGAAAAAAGTGGATTAATATCAGACATGCTGAATAGATTTATCTAATTCCTGGTTCATATTTTCTCTGACTTGGTGCACATAAGCTCCATCCATTCATTATCTATACCTCTTATTCCCAAATAGGGTTGTGTGACTGAAATTTTAGCTATGGATCTGTAAATAAGACTACCAGAATAAGTCTTTGACTCCAGTTTGTTTATGCTGAGTCTGTGACCCGAGGTGTTGGAACTGTTGTAGCTTTTCATTGGTGTTACAAGGGTAAAATAACAGCATCCGCTACTGTATGCCTGCTTTTGAAAGGCTGTATGATTTAGAAAAGACCTACTGGGGAAAATCTAGGAGGAAAAAGAACTGGATCCAGGTCAAGTTACTGCCAAGAGACCCCTGAGCCAGGCACCTCTAGCCACTGCATTGGGGCTACTCACATGCCCAGAAGCAGTGGAGTGGTGCTGTGAGAGGGAAAGTATGCCTGTAACTGAGAGTGCAGCAGGGTGTTTCTGAAACAGAGCACACATGGTCTGCAAGTGGCTTTTTTACATTAAGAGCCACCAGTCACTTTCCTCTGGCAGCTCTAAGACCTGCCCTGTTGCTGGGATCCTAAATGAAAAGCAAAATCAGCTTCTAAACAATCAAAGAATTTCTTTGGACATTTTTAGCAAGCATGTTAGAGGAATAAATTTGATTAATGCATTTTACATCAAGGATTGGGGTCAAGACAGGTAATATACACCTAGGTGTAGAACATGAGCTGGACTTGACTTGCCGGCCTGGGATTAAACCTGAGACTAGGCAAGGCAAAAACCTCTGGCACAACTTCATCCAGTGCCAAGTTGCACAGATGAGAAAAAACAAACTAAAGAGGTCAAAACTCTAGCAACACTTGCAGTATGTTGAACAACTGAGTGTTGGAAGATAAAGTTTCCAGTGACCAGAGTGTGACCTCTGGCATCATGTGCCATGTCCTGAAAGGAGGGCATGCACAGTCTGACAGTACAGTGTGGCTCTGACTCATACCGTACATAAAGATCGACACAAAGTGACACCATCGCAAGTCGACCACCCCCTGGTGGCTGGTTACAGTGTAGGCCATAAACTCTGCCTCATCCATTGAAAAATTCAAAGCACAAATCAAATAAAATCTTCCCAATGCTGCAGCTCTAAATGAAAGTAAAAAAAAACAAGACATAGAGATAGACAAAAAAGGTAAACAGTGACAACTTTGCATTTCTATGATGTGATACAAAAGCTTCCAATTGGCAACAAGATAGTGTTAGACAGTATCAAACAGTGCATGCATTTAGTTGAATTTTAATAAATTCTACTGTCCTACAAACACGGAGAGCAGGAGTTTCAAATTTTCAGACATGTCAGCAAACTGTGTAAGAGATAAGCAGCTTGTAATACCTCCATATTGTGTTTTTCAGCCTTATTATGCTCCTCAAAAAAAAACAAAAAACACTTCATAGTACCTATATAATGCATATAAATGCTGATAGCACATCTTGACTTTGGCTTTGCAGGAATATAAAGAGACAAAGGCAGCCTGTTCTTTGAGGTTTCCAAGGCTGCATAAAAATATAAACATGGTTGTTCACATGCAGAGGATTTAAACATATTTCTGTTTAGCCGTGTGTCTGTTCTACTATTTATATTGGAAACAATACACTAAATAAAACAGAATACTGTGTTATTCCCAGTCTAAAGCTGAGCTCCTGAGTTCTAGTACGCTAGTTAGTTTGAGCTACTTTTATTTTTCCATCAAGATTTGCTTGAGCTGTAATACCTCATGTAGTTATTAGTCAAAGGTAACTGAGGTAAAAGCATCAAAATGGGTATTTTTTTAAAGATAATACCTCGGAGAAAATCAAGGCATTTTACTTGGACATTGCTACCTCACCAGCTAACCTGATATGGTTCTCTTGTTGTAGCTATGACGTTGGCTGTTTCCCTGCATGGTGGCGAGTACAGTACAGTGAGTCCCCAGACTACACAACCAGAGTGCGATTACCAAAGTTAGGTTTTAAGCGCTGTTTCGTGGTTAGCCTAGCACAGATAAGCCATTTTAACAGAAATGGTACTTGTCATCATCAATGTGCACACTATTAACACTCAAAAGGTCACGTTAGGGCTCCTGCAGCGTGCTGTGTAGTGTCTGACTAATAAAACAAAATTCATCACCACAGCATGTTATCTCATATGTGTAAATAAATATTGTATAGGTTGCTATTTATTACTCACCAGTGAAGAGGGCAGCCCTGATGACAGCCGACAGATACCCAAACTTCTGAAATGCTCTCATGTCTCCTGGTGCTTCAACGCACTTTACTTGAAGTGCTGTGAGAGGTTTTGATGAAGCATTTCCTGAGCTTGTGGGTTTCAAAGTTTTGCTGATTGAAAGATTATGTGTCTGGCTAACTTTCTTGAATGTTTCCTAAGCCACTATAATACAAGGCCCCTCACATTTCTTGAAGTGACTCACTTGGGTTGAACAAGTGAGAAATTTGTGAAGGCATAATTACAACAGTTGTTTGCCCTATCTACACTTTATGACAGCTTTTACTTTGCTTGTTGTTTGGGGAAAATTCTGCTATACAAGAAAAGGGTGTTTTCCCACTTAAACATAATTTAAAATTAAAACATGTCAATAAGCTTTTAATTGTGTCAATGTCAGTGTATCAAGAACTTCTAGCCTCTGCTGCTCATTTATATTTTTATTCACAGCACTTCACTAATAAATCCATGCCTTTATTGTCCATGCCATTTAGGTTTTATATGGTTTTCATGGATTTTCCCCTTGCACCTCTGTTATATTAGTAACATGATGCACAGACTGTTTGCTTCAGCATTAAAAGGTTGGCACTGATATTTGTCAACACAGATGCTTACTGGATTACTGATGTTGGTCATGGGTGGAAAGGTTTGTTGTCCAGATGTTGCCACAGCAGACATGATACTCCTTAGATTCATTACTGCCAATAAAATATCCTGGGTCAGGGTCTCTGCCCAGACTAGGCTGGATCCAAGCCAATGGGTCTGGACTTGAGAGCACCATGAATTGGATAATGGTAAATGGTCTTATACTTGTATAGCGCTTTTCTGTGCTTTGCAGCACACTCACACTATTTGGCCATTCACACTCACAAACGCTCACACACCAGTGTTATCACCGGGAGCAACTGGAGGTTCAGTGTCTTGCTCAAGGACACTTCGACATGTTGACTGGACAAGCCGGGAACTGAATCGCTAATCCTCTGGTTAGGAGACGACCCTCTCTACCTCCTGAGCCACAGCTGCTATTGAAAATGTGTCTGGCAGTCAGTTTTCAGCCATGTTTAACATGGCATGCTTAACTTCTCCATGATGCAGCATGTTAATTCTCTCCTGTGATTGGCCAAATCACACTTTGACTATATAATTTCTTGCTGCCCTCTCATCACCCCCCTCACACATGGTAAATAATGACTGTGCAGGTGATTAAATTCTGTCATATTGGAGCTGCAGGCTGTGATCTAGACTGTCTTGAGTTATATCTATAAAATCAGACAGATAACTGTCAGATCAGAATACATCTACTACCTGTGCATCACTGATTAAAATGAATCTTATCATCTTTAAAAAGAAGATAAAATCTGTGCTACACTTTCAGATTTGCTCATTCAAAGGGTTTTCTTTCTGCAGTAGACCTGTTCATCACTTACATTTCATAATGCACAGGAAATGACAACTGAAAGTGAAATTTGGTAGGAGGCTTTGTTTCCATATAAAAAAAAAAGCTAAACAGGTGTTCTTTAGAACAAAACATCTCACCAGCATAATATGTTTTCTGGCCATGATTTTCTTTTCGTGGCACAGCATTATCATGGCAATACCTGCAGTACATCAAAGGATGACAAGGCACAAGTCTTCTCCGTCATCTGGCTTCATTTTATTAGCTAAACAAAAGATACTACCAATAAAATCAGCTTGTTAAATTTCTAGAGGTTGGTGGGAATATGCGTGGCCTCAGCCCCAGGTGTTTAGTTGAAGTTGAAATGTGTTAGAAATGGTTCCATGTGTCATAAAAAGCAGATAAACTATTCTAGTGAGCAGATGCCATTTTCTCTAATGTGATGTATTCTATCAGAAGGTTGGTCCAGTGGTTTATGTGTAGAGATTTTTTTTTTT